TTCGGTTGTTAAGTGAATCTGGCTTCCCTCATTGACTTTGTTTATCCGGAGGTCACAAAAGGGGATCACATTACCTTGGGAGGCTGGAACAATTATAAATATGAGCCAGTCGCCAAGCATCTGAAGTTTCATCACACGGTCATGGGGAGGCTGCAAAGGTCGTAACTGTGAAAAACAGTCATAAGTCACATTTGCTGTTGTGACTTTGAACTAGTCAGGACTACCTGTACTGAAATAATGTCATTTCATTGCCCCGCCCCAAGTTAGATTGTACCCTTTGATATCAGAATACATCAAACATAATGCAGGCAGTCCTTGACTTACACCCATTTGTTTTTGTGACCATTCAAGTTACAATGGCACTGCGGGTGGATGGGAAGTGATTTTATTATAGTTTTTCACACTTACGACCACTGCAGCATCCCCATGGTCACATGATCAAAATTTGGACACTTGGCAACTGGCATGTTCCTATGACGGTTGCAGTGTCCTGGGGTCATGTGATCCCCCTTTGTGACCTTCTGACAGGCAACATCAATGGGAAAGCCAGATCCACTTAACAACCGGGTTACTAAAACTTAACACCTGAAGTGATTCACTTTTGGCAGGAAAGGTCATACATAAAATGGGGCCAAAAAAGTCTCTCAGCAATGGACATTTTGGGCTCAATTACCATCCTAAGTTGAGGACTCTCTGTAAAATAAGTCTGTGTTTCAATTTGCCTTGTATCCTCCTGACTGCACAGTGGTGCGCAAAGAAAAAACCTGGTAGAGAAAGAGGCTTTAGGAATTGCCACTCTAAAAGTAAGGCAATTTTGTCAGGTACAGAATAAACAGTACCCAGCTTTGTCTGTGACCCCCCCTGCATCAGTGGTGGGATTCAAATTTTTTTACTACCGGTTATGTGGGTGTGGCGTGGCTTGGCTTAGTGGGCGTGGCAGGGGAAGGACACTGTAAAATCTCCATTCCCACCCCACCCCACTCCACTAACCTGCTTTCCAGCTCCGTTCTCCTGTGCAGGGCAACAAAAGAAGACTCAGCTGATCAGCTGGGACTCGGGAGGCAGAGAATAGATGGAGACGGGGGCCAGTCAGAGGTGGTATTTGCCGGTTCTCTGAACTATTCAAAATTTCTGCTACCCGTTCTCTAGAACTGGTCAGAACCTGCTGAATACCACCTGTGCCCCCCACCCTCCCATTATGTTTCAAATTAAGTCTTTCCTAAGTGGCAACTTCTTAAAAGTGTTTTATACAAATGTTCCTCCTTTCCTGGGCAACAAAAGCTGGTTGCAAAATGGATGCAGCGCCAAGTCTTAACACCAAAAAAAAAAAAAAAAAATCAAGATCTTAAGTCCTTATAGACATCCTTATTTAAAACCAGGCTGAGATGGAAACTCTGACAGTAGCCAAGCTTAAGGAGATGGTAAAAAACGTGGATGCTGTAACAAAGCATTCCTGAACTGATGATATCACTGCTTGAACTGCAGCCTCTGCTGAATATGGGTGAGTGCCAGATATTTGGAGGAATTATTAGCATCTGTCTAGTAACCAGTGATAATTTATTGTCTTCTGGAAGGACAGTGCACTCACGCTGCACCCTGATTTTAACCTCCAGAGCTGGCTATAAAAAGCAGCAAATTATTGTTGAGTTACTAGCTCAGCTTCACCAGGTTGTGCAGATGTGTATTGTGATTGGACATCCAGCTCCTCCAGGAGAATTATGGGCATATGTGATGTGAAGCTTGGGCTAAGGGGAGGCGTCTGGCACAACTATTGGAAAGTGTGCGTTGCACCCCGGTTCAGTGGAGTGGGATGCCAAACTCTTATGCCTTGTTTGTCAGTTTCTTAAGCCTCCTTCATATTTTCCAGCTGCTCCTTCCCAGACACTCCTTAAGGGAGTTCAGGGGCCCCATGTTTCTCAGCTCAGCTCAGCTAAGGTAAAGGATGGAGCCAGCTGCAAGGATAGAAAGCAGAATGCAAAATAAAGTGAAGATGGAAGCTGAATATATTTCATAGTCCTCTAAAGAGAATGCGAGGGTGGGTGTTACAATCCATGTTTGTGTGTTTTCAGATCTGCAGGGATCTTTTTCATTTTTTTTAACACACTAGGTTTCACAATGAGACCCCAGACTAGGAAATACAATGATTCAAATTCATCATAGCCCATTTAATCACATCTGTTATTCAGAATGTTTCTGCGTCTATTCCAACTCTGTAATTGAGTTGGTAGACCAATATTTCTCAACCTCAGTGATTTTAAGACTGGCGGATTTCAACTCCCAGAATTCCCCAACCAGCAGAGTGGCTGAGGTTGAGAAATATTGCAATAAACCATGTGTCAATAAACAGGTAATCTTTGTCAAGTAGTCCTTATAAATCATGACAATCGTAAAAGGTTTATGACCTTTTTGCAACAACATTAAATGAATGCCATGGTCATAAAGTGGCCAATGTGGTTGTTAAGCAAATGCCACAGTAGTTGAACAAACAATGGCATGCTATGGGTGTGGTTTTGCCGAAAACTGGAAATAAATGCCCGTTTTCAGCAGAACCATTGTACAACATGGTCACATGGCCACGGAATGATCAAACGGTTGCTGACTTTGGTGACGTCGTCCTGAGAGGGCCCAAGTGTTGATAGTTTGAATCCAAACTGCAAGTAGACCCCACATAGGTCCACCATATGTTTGAACGGTTGCTGAGTGACCAGTTGTAAGTTGAGGACTACCTGTATCTTACTTGGTGTGCTGAGCTCATAACCTCACTGCTTACTATGTAGGCTGGTCTGAAAGGGAAATTATTTGTTTTTTCCTTGCAAATTTTTCCACAGAAATTTCTCAGAAATGTAACAAAAGTTTGTTTGATTGCAATTGCCATTAAAAGAGTCTGGCTTTGATTCTTAAATGATTTAGTGACAGTGGCCTTTTTTTTTTTTCTTTCTTTCTTTCTTTCTTTCTTTCTTTCTTTCTTTCTTTCTTTCTTTCTTTCTTTCTCTCTCTCTCTCTCTCTCTCTCTCTCTCTCTCTCTCTGTCTCTGTCTCTGTCTCTCTCCCCCTCTGTCTCTCTCCCCCCTTCCACCCTCTCTCTTTCTCCTTCTTTCCTTCCTTCCTTCCTTCCTTCCTTCCTTCCTTCCTTCCTTCCTTCCT